TTTTAAAAAATAAAATTATACTTTTTATAATGATGTTATCTTAAATTTAATTCTATAATAAATAATTAGTTATAAATATTAAATTTATTAAAAAAAGTATAATTTTACTTCCAATTTTCAAAATATATTCTTTTACTTTTAACTAACTCAGGATATAACCTTTTAATTATCATAAACACATCTTTTTGCATCTTCATATTTCCACATACAAAAATATACAAATTATCATGAATGTTTTTAATATTAATTTGATTGTTTAGATACTGTTTATCAGAACTTTTATACTGTATAATATTCTCTAATTCATTTAAGAATAGTTTAGACAAGTCATCTTCATTATTTCTAAAACCATAATGTAATTTTAATTTAGAAAAAGTATAATTTTTATAAAAAGATATAAAAGGAGTTATACCAGTCCCAGTACAGAAACTTATAAGTTCTGTATTTTGATTAATTGATTTGTTTAAATTTGATAATAAAATTGACTTTTTAAAACAAATTTGTAAAGAATCAATTTCTTGTGTCTTTATAAATTCTGAACAATGTCCATACTTGAGACCAAATGGAGTGTTCAAATCTTTATGTTTTTCAATTCCAATAATCACTTCTAAATGTTCAGATTTTTTATTTATTAAAGAATAAAATCTTGGAGTTATTGTACTACAAGATGATAGAAAATCTTCTATAGTTGGTTTAGCTTTAAACTTTTCAATAAATGTTAATATGGTTGGATAACTTAAAAGAAATTTCTTATACTCATTTACATCTTCTATGAGTTTAGTTAATCCTTCTTTATCTTCAGCTGTTTTTAATAACGCTTTCAATTCTTTCTTACGTGGTGCTGATTTTAAATCAATGTGATTAACAAGCAATTCTTTCAATGATCCAATGTATTTAAACGAATCTAATCCAATGTTGTTTACTTTAACATAAACATTATCCCAGTTACATAAATACATTAGATTTTGTACTATTTCTTCAGAATTTGGTGTTAAAATACCAATAGCATCTCCTGGTGTATAATCATAAATCTTATTTAACTTTAGATGATAAACTTCTTTCCAAGAACATTTAAGTTTTGTTTTACTTAAAACATCTACTTTTTCAAATATACAACTCATTTCATTAACAAAATGTGATTTAGTACAATCTTTTATAAATTCTATTGTCATTTAAAATAAAAAAAAATTTAACAAAACATTCTAAAAAATTTATAAAGGATGAAAATAAAGTAAGTGAATTTTTTGTTAAAAATTTAAGAAATTACTTTTAAAAATATTAATTATTTCAAGAGACGACTTAAATAAAAATTAAAATATTATACCGTTAATTATTTAAATTATTATTAAAATAACAAAAAATAATTATTTAAATATAAAAGTTTTATAACAAATAATTTGTTTACTATCTTTTTATACACAATCAATATTATCATGTTTTTATATTATAATGTTTTTATTATTATAATTTTTTAATAAATCAATCCTTAAAATAATTTGGTATTTATTAAACATACAGATAAAAGGTTCAACAAAAATAAATCTAAAAACAATTAAATATTAATGTAGAAGAAGAAAATACTCATATTAATAACAAATTGACTGATATTGAAATTAAATTAATAATGAAAAACAACTATCTAAGAATAAATAAAAGACGTTTAAATAATTCAACTACTGATAATTTTGAAAGAGAACAAATCATTCCAAGATGACTATATTCACTAATCAAAAGCAATAAAGTTTTCTAAAAACAATCTATTTCTTCGAAATTATAAAAAT